CGGAATCCTGGACGGAAAAGATGTGTTCTCATTTTATAAAGAAGAAACCACAAACTAGATAGCTAAATTATTTAATTCACACCACTAGTACAATCAGCTCGGATATTGTGCACCTACTGGAAAATAATTTATTATACATTTTTCCATTATTGAGAAGAGGAAGCTGATATTTTGAGAAATGAACAGTTGCTTTCTGCAATTTATCAGATTAACATAACAAAAGCAGCTTTCTCTTATTGAATAACAGAGTATTAGAAGGGTGAGATTCAATTTTACCGGATTTATACATTACAAAAACAGGAAATTTGACATTTTCCAGAATGTGCCCTGGATGTGCTGTGGCATGCCAAGTCACACTTCCCGTGATCGGATGGAGTGCATGCATTTCTGATCACGGAGCACATCCTTTCACTTGCTGCTATTCGGCCCAAGATACACTCGATCCTCAACGATGCTGCGTATAGTGGCTGTTATACTACTGCTCAATGTTCAGTTTAATTCTGGAGAGCCAGTTGAGGTCAAGAGTAAGTGGCGACATTTGCTTTCGAAGTAAAACATATAATTACCCAGAAGTTGATGAAAATATTACTGTTCCATTCTGAGCAAAAATAATAAAAATATTTCTTGAATTATAAAAAGCTAAAGCTATTCTATACTTTATCTATTCATCGCACGCATTCCCCGTCATACGGGAGCCATTTCCTAGAATCTCAAGGGTTTTCTTCATGCCTAAAACATCTGATGTTTTTTGCAAATGAATCGCATTTTTCAGGTCTTTATGGCTCCCTCCAACAAGGTAGAAATTTTCGCTCTCTCATACCAAATACATAAGATATTATAGATTTCAAGAAAAAAAAATAGAAACAAGCGGAGTGTAGTTCTTTGTGTAGAATCCTTTCCATGCATTACATTTTCCAAAGAATTTTTTTAATAATTAGAAGAATGCAAATTTTAATGTCTCACTCAAATTTAGTGAAAACGTATTATGTATTTTTGTAGATCCAGAAGATCGTTGCAAAGAAACTGTGGATCCAGGACCATGCCAGTACTACCAAGTGAGTAATATACTGATAATGCAACTTCATAACTTGCAATGAGCATGAGAATGGGAAGATGCGGAAAAATAGCTAGAAAAATTATCGATATGTAGCTGTTTTTGAATTTTGTAATTTAGGTTGTAAAAATCTTTTTACTCTAAGTACAGTCCTATTTGGCTAGTTACGCCCTATTTTTAGCAAATTCTTGCAGTCTCAATGGTTGCAGGAAGCTTATCCGATGA